GGCTGCTGAGAGGTTCTGGGGTTGTAGCTGGTCAGCAGGATGCAAACATTGTCCACATTACCAGCACAAGGCCAAGGGGCACAAGGCTGCAGGCCAGGGCTGGAAGGGCACCTGAACCCTCTTCATCACTTGCCCTGCTGCCTCCACTTCCCGCTTGTCGTAGATGACACTGACTGCGGGCGTGGTTCTTGCGGGAATAGCCTGTCCTCTGACGAGGACCAGTGGTGAGGACTCCTGGTGACTGAGACCCCTCTGGCTGTAGTGCAGTCAGTGGGGGCTCTGCAGAGCTGGTCAGGGTCCCAAAGAGAGAGTCATTGATGTTACGTGGGCCTGAGCTGTTGCCTCTGGGCTGTCACCAGGTGGAACACGCCTCTTGAGTGTATTGCCAGCAGAAGCTGGCCTACCAGATTCTAGCACAGAGGCCTTGTCTGCAGTGAATGGCTGGCAGCATTTGGGCAGCCCCAGCAGCTCCTCATCAGTGGCCACACTAGTCCAGATGGGATGGAAGGGCCTGGCTTCCACAGCAGAGCCCTCTAGGTCATTGGCAACAAGACACTGGAAGTCACAGCCAGCCAGGTGCATGGGCAGTTTACAGGGCATCTCAGATGAGGAACATTGGAACTGCTGCATCTCAGATGAGGAACATCGGAACTGCTGCAGCCAGGCCCAGAATGGGTGTGCCAGGTAGTCGCATACCCAGGGGTTGTCATTGAGCCGCAAATACTGCAGAGCATGTAGAGGTGCCAGGGCCTCTGTAGGCAGCATTGAGAGTCTGTTTGCAAACAGGTAGAGTGCCTGAGGCGGCCAAGGTCATGGAAGACATGTGGGTGCACATGGGCCACACGATTCGGGATGGTCAAGACTTTGCAGGCCACGGAAGGTGTGCTCTGGCACACTGGGGATGTGGTTACTGTGAAGGAAAAGGTGTGTGAGGTTGCTCAGGTCATGGAAGCCATTGTCTGTCAGTGCCTGCAGCCAATTGTCTTGAAGGTAGAGGTACTGCAAGGTGGCCAGGCCACGGAACAGGCCAGGGCCCAGTTCCTGCAAGCTACAGCAGTCCCCCTGGGCCCGATCTCCATCCCCATATTTCAAGCATTATTCATGGCTTGCCTGCCCCCAGCCCCCTAACAGCTTGCAGGTCATGCTGGAGGAGGAGGAGATGTGCTCTTGGCATACACTATAGGGCCACCAGACTGAGCACAAGGACTACTAGGAAGTGGGGTTCAGACTGTCTCATCCCTAGTCTGTCAGGTGCTGGGGTTTGGGTAGCTTATGCGGAAATCCTCCTTCAATACTGTAGAAAGAGGCACACTGAGGTTCAGAACTCTATGCCCAGCCTAGGCCCTTTTAGCTCTTGATAAACCCTAGAAGCTGGGAGACTGGGGATTTCCCCTCATTTCACAATGGGGAGTTGTGATTTAATGAAAAAAAAATGCAAATAGCAGCCACTATGGGTTCCAGGGGGTATGGGGTGGGTCTACCAAATAGCACCTCTGCTGTTACAGGAACAGTGGTCTGGGTGCAGTGAGGGCATGGGGTGAAGGAGTATAGTTCCCACCCCAGAGTACCCTGCCCCCAGCAGGCTGCTCCCTCCTCCACACATCATCCCTTTTAAGCACTTCCTGACTTGGCTTGGAACACCTCCTGCAGCCTCCTCCCCTGGCCTCATTTTCTGCTTGATCCCCTCCCAGGGGAGGAGTTCACTCTTCCCAGCTAGTCACTGCAGGTCCCAACTGTCCTCAACTCTCCAACCCAGATGCACACTCAACTGGGACAGTCTCCCAGCAGCAATCTCCCCCTGCTTATGGTGTTGTACCCTCGCTTCCCTTGAAGGGCCAGACACTCCTGGGCCTTCAGTGAGGCTCTATACTAGCAAAAGACTTCTCCTGGGGCTAGGGTGACCTGGCCTCAACAGCAGGGCCTATTATTCCACCATCAGATTCCCTGCCCCTTTGAATGCTGAAGGTTCTTTCAGCCTACCTCGCCTTAGGAATGAGTCTATTGAAATGTGAATCATTTCACATCGGGTTATGGCTTGTAAGCTAACACTTGAGTTATCAACTAACACCTTCATTGACAGCTAACACCTTCCTTGGTAGCTAGCTAAGAGCAGGATTCTGCAGATAGGAGCTGGCTAAGTGCTGGGGTTGGAGTCGAGAGGGAGGAGAGAGAGATCCATGGTCCAGCTTCAACCAGCCAGGACTGTGACCCTTGGGCCTTCCATACTATGCTGGGCCCCCTGCCACAGGGGTCCTCTTCTGCCTAGAGCACAACAATTGCTCTAAATGCAGAGTCCCAGCAAACCAGTTAAGTATAATAGTCATTAAATATGTCCCTAGGTCCTGGGAGCATGTCCAGGCATCTCCCTTCTGAACTCTGCCTTGCTGGGTTTGGGGTCATTTGTTGGTTGCAAGAGAGATGGCAGCCCCAGGATGGGGGTCCAGAAAGTCAGAAGCCTATGAGCCCCCAAGCCCTGGGTAACCTTCCCAAGGCTGGATATGCATGAGAGGCATTTTGGCCTTATGTTCTATTTAAATTACTGACACCCCTGCTTCCTTCTTATGCATCTTCCCTGGGAAAGTGGAGCTTGGCCATGCAAGTTCCCCACAGTGTTTCACCTGCTGTCACAGGCACACACTGTGCTATGTAAACTGTATTTCCTAGCCCAGGAATTCAGGAAGACCTTGGGTTGGTTGCGTTGGGGGCCCTCAGTGGTCAGGCTCACTGCCATAACTGGGCCACATCACCAGTCAAGCCATGCCACAGACTGTGCATATCACCAACTGTGCCATGCTCTTGATTAGGCCTCCCTGAGACTGGGCCATGCCACCAACCTCTCTCTGCCATAATGACAAGTTCTCTGTGCTACCTACCATATATGTTGACCATGTCCCTCACATCATGACTGAGCTAGGCTACCACTGCATCATGTCCTATGGCCCCAAGACCTGAGGTGTGGTCGGTGAGTTCACTGGTATAGATGCCCATGTTGACTCCAGACTGAGCCACACAGGGGAGGCAGGCAACTGGGAGAGTGGCCACATGGCACTCAACTCTGGTAGCAGCAGGTATCAGGCACAAAGACAAGGCTTTATTCCTGCCAAGACAACTGCTTTTTGGAAACCAACTTCTGAGAGTCGGCCCTCCACACTGGCCCTGCTATCCACACAGCGGCTGAGGTGGGCTTTCTTCTGCTGCAGCCACAGTAATTGGCTCCAGCCTGGGCCCCCTTGGGGCCTTCCCCGCTGGTCTCCATAGCAAACCCTCTGCTGAGCAAGCATGAGGGGGCATCTTTATATGAAATAATCAAATCCAACTTTGTGGCATTGTTTGTATTTACAGTGGGGGCCCAGGGAATACAGAAAACCCAACCAGGTAGTCAGGAGGGTGTCCTCTGACCTTACACCATGGCTGCCCCATTTGACCTCTTCCTGCCCTCCACCTTGGAAAGCAACCCCTCCCTATCCACCAGAAAGCCTCACTGGGCCAACCCCCTGGCCTCTGCAGCCTTCTGAACTACAGGGCTCCTGACCTCCAGGGCCGGTCCCCTCCTTGCCCATCTCTCCTATTTTTCTCCCCAACCTGACCATTAATTCTCCCAGGAGATTCTGCCCTCTTCCTGGAGATCAGCCTGGCCACCCTTGCCACTCTCATCATCTCATTCAGGTACCAACTCTCAGTGATCATCCAGTGTGAATGTGACTCCAGACACATCCAGGGAAAAAACAGCCCTGCAAGGGCTCCAGTTCTCACACATATGAACCACATGGATTGCCCCCTCAGATCCCTGCAGCCACCCCAAGGACAGGCCAGGTGGCCACCTGAGCCTGTCCTTGGTGCCCCTCTTGCCATTCCCCAGGAGCCTGGCTGTAGTTGTATAGAAGCTCCCTCCTCATATCCAGATGAGAGGGATCTCCTGCCTGAAGGGTCAATTCCCCTCTACCCTGGTATACTAGCATTCCCTGACACCCAGGTGGAGAGGTCTCCCACCTGGAGAGGCGAGTCCCCTCTACCCTGTCTGCAGCGGTATAGGAGCTCCCCCGCTAAACACCCAGGTGGGAGGGGTCTCCCGCCTGGAAGGGTGAGTCCCCTCCACCCTGGCTAGGGTGGCATAAGAGCCCCACCACCAGACACCTAGGTAGGAGGAGCCAGTCATCTCTACCCTAGTGCTGGTGGAATACGAGCTCCCCCAGATGCCCAGGTTTGAGGGGTCTCCCACCTGGTGGGACAAGTCCCCTCTCCCCTGGCTGCAGTGGTATAGGAGCTATCCTGGACACACAGGTGGTAGGGGTCTCCCACCTGACGGGGCGAGTCCCTCTACCCAGGCTGCAGTGGTATACAAGCTCCCCCAGACACCCAGTTGGGAGTGGTCTCCCTCCTGGAGGGGTGAGTCCTCTCTACCCTGGCTGCTGCAATATAAGAGCTCCCCTGACACCCAGGTGGAAAGGGTCTTTCACCTGGAGGGGCGAGTCCCCTCTACCTTGGCTTCGGAGGCACTTGGCTCCCCACCGGGAAGGGCGAGTCCCCTCTACTCAGGCTATGGCAGTATACAAGCTCCCCCAGACACCCAATTGGGGGAGGGGACTCCCGCCTTGATGGGTCTCCCGCCTGGAGGGGCAAGTCCCCTCTACCCTGGCTAAGGAGGTATACAAGCTCCCCCTGACACACAGGTGGGAGGGGCCTCCCACCTGGAAGGGCAAGTCCCCTCTACTTTGGCTGGTGCCCTATAAGAGATCAAAGGACATCCAGGTGGGAGGGGTTTCCTGCCCGCAGGGGGAACCTCTCTACCCTAGCTGTAGCATTATACAAGCTCCCCCCCACACCCATTGGGTGTGGTCTCCTGCCTGTAGTGGAGAGTACCCTCTACCCTGGCTGTGGAGGTATAGGAGCTCCCCCCACAACACCCAGGTGAGAGGGGGTCTCCCGACTGGAGGGGCATGTCCCCTCTACCCTGGCTGTGGTGGTATACTAGCTTTCCCTGTAGAGAATCAGATGTGACTGTGAGCTTGAAAACGTGATTATTATTGCCCTTGATGGAGTCTGCCTGCAAACAGGATATTCTGTCAAGGTCTAGATAAGGTGACAGCAAATTATGCTTGCATATGAGATGTTTTGTTGTCTTTGTTGGGGCTTACTTGCAAACGAGAGGTACCTTCACAGTTTAGATAAGGTAACATTGGACATGCTTGAAAAAGAGGTGTGTACTGTCCTTGGGAGGACTTGCCTGCAAACGGGATGTTCTGCCAAGTGGGCTAGGAGGGCGCCAAGAAAAAATTTTTTTTTTATCTGTTCTTGACAAAGAGCAGAGCTCAGCATGCTCAGGCCAAGAGTAGATTAGCCATGAGAAGCAGATCACTTCTGATTAGAAAGTAAAACTTCTGTATGCTATGTTTAACTAGCTAAAAGACCTGCTATAAAAAGATTGCTGTATACAATAAAAGACTTTTTTTCTTCTGCTGCTTTGCTTGCTCTGCTTCTTCTTTCTTCTCAAGCTGACCTGCGAGTGAATTACTGCAACATTTGGCATGTGAGCAGGATCCAGCACAGAAAGGGTAAGCACTCCAGGTTAAGAAAAAGAAAGGGGACTTTTGGGATTAACAAAATATCGAAAGGGTATCCCCTGGGTTGAAAGAGACTTTAGGGGAACTTTCAGAACTAACAAAACATCAAAAGGGTATTCACTTCAGGTTGAGAAAACTTAAGGGGGACTTTCAGAATTAACATAGAAAACTCCCAGTCCTTAAAGGAACAATATGTGGAGTTACTACAAAGATTATTGTATTCCATAGATGTAAAAACATATCATAAGAGACTTAAAGAGTTATTTAAAATTATAGAATGTCATTGTCACTGGTTCCAGTTTCAAACCAAGGTCCAGTTAAATTTATAGGAATGGAAATTGGTTCAGAAAGAACTCCGTAAGCAGCATCAGGCTGGGAATGTTATTTCTTTGAAGATTTGGACATTGTGTAGCGCTATTACTCAAGCATTACAATTATTAGAAAGCAATAATGAAAAGGGTTCTCATTGTGAAAGCCAAGTTGATACATCAAAATCTGATACTAAGATTAACAAAACGGAGCCCAAGGAAGATATCTGTGATACTATAGATGAGTCTCCTAAATCAGATCTGGGTGATGTGGAAGATTCAAAAAGTTCAGATAGTGACTCCAATATAAAAGAAATTATGGAGGCCTTTGTGGAAAAAATGAAATTAAAAAAGCAAAGGTCCTCTCTTAAACCTACTACTCCTTCTAATGCTTCTCTCTTTCCAATGACAAAGTATAAAATTGATATGGGTAAAAAACAACAGCACTTTTCATTTCCTTACTATGATATATGATGATGATGATGATCTTACAGCTCCCTCTAGTGGTTTTGTTAATCCACCACATTTATTTCCTATAACTGGACAACAAAACCTTCATAATCCCCAAATGATTGATGTTCATTATACTACAGTAAAGTACAAATTTATAAAGGATTGTCACAAAAAAGGTAAAGGTGTCTTTTACCTGAAGTCAAACTAAACTAAACAAAAAGCGTAAATTTTATGGTACTTTCTAATTACCAGCCGGTCATTTTTTTCTAAGACTCTTGCTTTTTCTTAGATTCTGTATTTTTTGAGCTCATAATTTTGATCCTACAGACCTAAGTTAATGTTTTTCTGATCAGTTCTATTTTTGACCAACTGTGGAGTATTTAAACATTACAATGGAAATTTCACCTAAAATAGCTACAAGGCCTTTATTGTGTTATGTGTGCACACTTGTATTATGTTTTGTATGTCTGTTCGTGCGTATGTCCATATATCATGTACATGATATAAAGGTTGATATATATGTAAAGAGAGCTCGTAAAAATTTTTAAAAAATGGGTCCAAATATTTTTAATTCACTGATTTAAATGGTTAAATTTAAATTGGGTAAACAGATAAAAAAATAAGATGTCTTTAACATGTTACTGTCTGATGTGCTTTGGTTCTAGGACTTTTCTTCAACAACATCAACAAAATGGCTAACACTGTTCATTATACTTGTCTAATGTTTTGATAAAATAAGTAAATTAATTAGACATAAGATTACTCGTTTATGAGTACTTTTGTTAAATATCTGATTGATGTACAAGGTTAATATGCTAAATGTTAAATATACCATTAAATATTTTTAACTCCTTAAATTACATTAGATAACATTATTGATTATTTTTAAGTTGGTAAATAAATAATAAATAAATGGTTGCTTTGTCATCCCTGATATTTAGACACTATATTTTCATAATATGGTAAACAGATGTGATTAATTGTGTACTACAAATAACAAAATATCTCTTATTAAAATGGAATAATTTGCCTAAATTCAAAAATTTACAAGGATTGTTTCAAAGTATGAGTAAAGAAGGAGTTAAAAGATGGAAAAAAATTAGAAGGTTCTAGGTATGGATTTAATAGAAGAAAAATTTGTTTCTGGAAGTGAATAAATAAGAGGGTTTAAGCAAGGGATAAAGAAGGTCTGTGTACATTGGCTATATAGGTTTAAGTAAATGATAAAGAAGGTCTGTGTACATTGGCTATATATGTAAGTTTTTTTAGCAATTAATCTTGAAGGAATTAAGGATTATACAACTATGGTTAAACAACAACTATTATTTTTCAATATTCTAATATGTTATTTCTTTAAGAGCTAAACTTGATTAATATAAAAACATCAATAGTAATTGTGGTACTAACACTCTTCTTTGTATATTAAATATATTCATATTTTCCAGGTATATAAATCATTAAGATAGAAGCTTTAAAAAATTATATCAAGCTGGTGTTCTCCAAAAGGTTGCATGGTAATTTTAGGCTTATAAAAATAACATTGGAGATTTATTTATATCATTTAATGTTCTATAACTGGGCCTATTATCAATAAGATATATAAAGTTTTATGTTACTTTTTACACTGAGATACAATTAAAATGTATTTTTTTAAGTTAATGAGAGCCTAATCTACATAAAGGTTAATATTATAAAACACAAAAACATTTTTCTATTTTTCTACAAAAAGCTAAAAGCTTTCAACCTTTCTTTATTTCATGTTTTAGATGTGTTATCATATTGTGTTAGTTAATACTCAAATAAACTTAAACAATTATTTATATAAAATTATATTTAAAAACAAAAATAAACTTTAAAACTGCAACACTTTAGGTTTATAAAGAGCCCTGCTTACCTAAGATAAGACTCTATGTCCTATCTCACTACATGTAAAAATACCTACAAAAATAGTAGGCCAAATTTCAGTACATTTTACTCATATTAGAGCACATTCTATACTGCCAGGACCATTAACTAGAAAAAATCAAAATATTGATCAACTATTATTCCCCTTACAAAAGGCTCATCTAGAACATGCTTTACATCGTACAAACACTAAAGAACTTTATAAAAAATACAAAATAACTCAAAAACAAACACATGAAATTATAGCTAACTGTTCATCATGTGCTCCTTTTAATATTCCTTACTGTCCTCCTGGTGTTAATCCAAGGGGACTCCATCCTAATGCCCTTTAACAAATGGATGTTGTTATAATTCAGTCATTTGGACGACTAAGATATGTACACCATACTATTGACATTCATATTCATTTTCTATGGGCCACAGCATTATCTTCAAAAAAAGCTGATGCAATCATTTCTCATTTATTATCTTGTTTTGCTGTCATGGGAATTCCCAGAGAACTTAAAACTGACAATGCACCTGCATATACCTCACAAAAATTACATTCATTTTTACAAAAATATGACATTACACATACATTTGACATACCTTATAATAGTCAAGGTCAAGCTATTATAAAAAGGACAAATCATACGTTAAAAAATATATACTAAAAATAAAAAGGGGGCATATGGCTATGGCTTATACACCTCAAAATATACTTCATAAAACTTTACTAACTTTACATCTTTTAATGTCTAGTCAGGTTCCAAGGTTCCTGCAGCCCAGCAACATTTCTCTACATTTAAATCTCAGCCATTATTTCAAAAATCATAAATACCTATATGGTACAGGGATGAAAAATAAGAATGGATTTCTAGGTTATTGCACCACATGGGAAGGGGGTTTGCTCTTATTTCTACAGGTAAAACACCATTCTGGGTACCTTCAATACTTATCAAATTGGGAATGAGCGACCCATTTGTCAGACAATTTCAGGAGCTGGCAATGCAGAGAACTTCTACAATGGCAATGAGAACAGCAGACCCCCCAACATGGGGACAGATGAAAAAGTTGACTCAAGAAGCTGAAAAAAATCTTCAAAAGGCAAATCAGCCTTTAAATCTTGTTAATCTTTTATTAGCTATGCTTGCAGTTATTAATTGCCAGGTAAGTATAGTTTCTGCTCATTCTTTTGCTTATTGGGCCTATGTTCCTAACCCTCCTTTGGTGCACAGTGTTTCCTGGGAGAACCTAAAGTTTGTGTGTGTAATAATAATACTAATTTTCCCCCCCTCCTGTATGTGTGGGAATTAAAGCTATTCCATTCCATAAAAATCTGTATAATATTTCTAAGATAACTAGCTGTTGAAGGAGTTCCATTGTGTATAGGGACTCGTTCTTTCTGTTTGCCTTTTATAGCACATACCAGTTCTCATTCCTATAATACTTGGGGAATTAATTATCATAGTTATTCTACTGCTGTTTTTACTGTCATGATATCTTCCGAGGATTTAATACCTCTAATATGTATGTTAATCAATCATTGCTAACATCTGAAAAATGTTTTATCAGAACTCATCTTCCTTTATGTTCAGCTAAATACTTTGAAACCTTTTTAACTCATTTAGAGTGGGAAAAATGTCGTGATCATCACCCTAAAACAGTAGTTAAATATCAAAATATCACTATAGTTGATTGGAGTCCTGATCATTCTAAGTTTATAAAAAGTTGGTCAAATCGTACTTTAAGATGGCATCAACATAATGGGACAATAAATGCTTGGGGTAATGAGACAATTAAAATGCAACATTATGCTTTGGTCCCTCCAATGTTACAGCATACAAAGTTTTCCAATATTCAAGGGGATATATAAAAATTATGGGAAGTATCTGGGAAACTCACTGTATGGACTGGAAATTTCACATTAGATGTATCCCATTCCTCTCCTTTTGAAGTACATCTATATAATAATCTGACTTATTTTGCTTCTGCATATGTTAAATTCCCTTATTCTCTTATGATTGGAAACTGTGATTGGAATGAAACTTGGGGAACAAGATCATGTATAGACTGTTATCTTACTCAATGTGTAAATAGAACTAATTGGGAATTAATAGAAATTAATAATTATTCTTTAGTTATTATTAAAGCTCGCACAGAATTTTGGGTGCCTGTTAATTTGACTTGTCCTTGGTCTGATTCATTGTCTGTTACTCATTTGTACAATGCTGTTCAAGTTTTGTTACATCACTCTCGATGATTGGCAGGAATAGTTATAGCTTCTATCCTTGCAGTTGCTTCTGTAACTGCCACTGCTGCAGTAGCTGGCATTGCTTTACATCAAGGCATTCAAACTGCGGATTTCGTGAGAACATGGCATCAAGATGCTCATTTATTATGGCAACAACAAAAGGACTTAGACTCTCAATTGGCTACAGATGTGATACATTTACAACATACTGTTTCCTGGCTTGGCGATAAAGTGACTATCTTGGCTACCAGAAATGTTCTAAAGTGTGACTGGAATTCTTCTCATATTTGTGTGACTCCTGGGCCATATAATACCAGTGATTCCTGGGAAACTGTTAAAAGATGGTTAAATGGACATCAAAATTTAACTTTTGAAATTATGAATTTGGAAAAAACTATTATTGACACCTTTAGTAAGACATTACCTGAACTAACAGGATCTGATATTTTACAAAAATCATCTTCAAGTATTGCTAATTTAAATCCTTTAAGTCATTTCTCTACCTTGTTGTCAACTTCTTTAGGTAACACTGTAATAATTTTTGTTTTGTGTTTTGTTTTGTATATAGTCTTCCAACGCTGAAAAAAGTGAAGGCAACTGAAACATGAAACCTCTCTTATTGCTTCTGCTATGGCTCATTTACAAAAACAGAAGGAGGGAGATGTAGAGAATCAGATGTGACTGTGAGCTTGAAAACGTAATTATTATTGCCCTTGATGGAGTCTGCCTGCAAACGGGATATTCTGTCAAGGTCTAGATAAGGTGACAGCAAATCATGCTTTCATATGAGATGTTTTGTTGTCTGTTGGGGTTTACTCGCAAACGAGAGGTTTCTTCAAAGTTTAGATAAGGTAACAGTGGACATGCTTGAAAACGAGGTGTCTACTGTCCTTGGGAGGACTTGCCTGCAAAGGGAATGTTCTCCCAAGTGGGCTAGGAGGGCACTAAGAAAAATTTTTTTATCTGTTCTTGACAAAGAGCAGAGCTCAGCATGCTCAGGCCAAGAGTAGATTAGCCATGAGAAGCGGGTCACTTCTGATTAGAAAGTAAAACTTCTGTATGCTATGTTTAATTAGCTAAAAGACCTGATTTATTGCTGGCAGAAGGCTGCCTTCTTTGTTCACAATACTATAAAAAAGATTGCTGTATACAATAAAAGACTTTTTTTCTTCTGCTGCTTTGCTTGCTCTGCTTCTTCTTTCTTTCTCATGCTGACCTGCGAGTGTATAGGAGCTCTCCCCCACACACCCAGGTGGCAGGGGTCTCCCGACTGGAGGAGCATGTCCCCTCTACCCTGGCTATGGTGGTATACTAGCTTTCCCTGACACCCAGGTGGGAGGAGTCTCCTGCCTGAAGAGGCAAGTCCACTCTACCCTGGCTGTGGCAGTATACAAGCTCCGGCCTACACTCAAGGGGGGATCTCCCACATGGAGGGGCGAGTCCTCTCTACCCTGGATAATGTGGTATACAATCTCACTGTGACACCCAGGTGGGAGGAGTGTCCCTCTGGAGGGGCGAGTCCCCTCTACCCTGGCTGCAGTGGTATAAGAGCTCCCCCTGACACCCAGGTGGGATGCGTCTCCCGCCTGGAGGGGCATGTCCCCTCTACCCAGGCTGCAGAGGTAGGTATTCCAGTTTCCGCAGACATCCAGGTGGGAGGAATTTCCAGACTGGAAGGGCCAGTACCCTCTACCTTGCTGCAGTGGTATATGAGCTACCACCAACCGAAACCTAGGTGGGAGTGGTCTCCCACCTGGAGCGGCAAGTCCCCTCTACCCTGGCTGTGGGTTATAGAGTTCCCCCAGACATCCAGGTGGGATGCGTCCCTTGCCTAGAGGGGTGAGTCCCCCTCTAGCTTGGATGCTGTGGTATAGGAGCTCCAGCAGACACCCAGTGGGAGGGGTCTCCCGAATGGAGGGACAAGTCTACTCTACTCTGTCTGCATCAGTATACGAGCTCCCCCGGCCCATACAGATGGGAGGGTCTCCTGCCTGAAGGGGCGAGTCCCCTCTACCCTGGTTGTGGTGGTATACTAGCTTTCCTGGACCGGTGAATCTGCTCTACCCTGCCTTAGGCGGTGTACAAGCTCCCCCAGACACCCAGGTGAAAGGGGTTTCCCGCATGGAGGGCCGAGTTTCCTCTACCCTGGCTGCAGTGGTATACTAGATTTCCCTGACACCCAGGTGGGAAGGGTCTCCTGCATGGAGGTTCCAGTCCCCTCTACACTGGCTGCAGCGGTAAAGGAGCTCCCACTGACACCCAGGAGGGATGGGTCCCCTGCCTGGAGGGGTGAGTCTTCTCTAGCCTGTCTGCTGCGGTATAGGAGCTCCCACGCAAACCCAGGTGGGAAGGGTCTCTTGCTTGGAGGGGCAAGTCCCCTCTACCCTGCCTGCGGTGGTATATGAGCTCCCCCCAAAACCCAGGAGTGAGGGGTCTCCCGCCTTGTGGAGAGAGTCCCCTCCACCCTGGCTAAGTCTGTATACAAGCTCCTCTGGACACCCAGGAGGGAAGGGTCTCCGGCCTCGAAGGGCTAGTCACCTCTACCTGGCTGCAGTGGTATAATAATTTTCCATGACACCAAGGTGGAAGGGGTCTCCCACCTGGAGGAATGACTCCCGTCTACCCTGGCTGCATTGGTGTACAAGCTCCCCCAGACACGCAGGTGGGAGGGGGCCCGCCTTGAGGCGTGAGCCCTCTACCATGGCCGAGGCAGTATAGGAGCCCCCCCCCATACCAAGATGGGAGGGATCTCCTGCCTGAAGAGGTGAGTTCCCTCTACCCTGGCTCTGGTGGTATAGTAGCTTTCCCTGACACCCAGGTGGGAGGGGTCTCCTGCCTAGAGGAGTCTTTCCCCTGGAGGGGTGAGTCCTCTCAACCCTGGCTGCAGCAGTATAGCATCTCCCCTGGATACCCAGGTGGGAGGGGTCTTCTGCCTAGAGGGGAGAGTGTCCTCTACCCTGGTGCAGCAATGTACAAGCTCCCCCAGGCACCCAAGTGAGAGGCAACTCCCTTGTGGAGGGGCAAGTTCCCTCTACCCTGGCTGTGGTAGTATAGGAGCTCACCGCCATATCCAGATGAGAGGAGTCTCCCACCTGAAGGGGCAAGTTCCCTCTGCCCTAGCTGCTGCAGTGGTATACTAGCTTTCCCTAACACTGAGTTGGGAGGAATTTCCTGTCTAAAGGGTTGAGTCCCTTCTAACCTGGCTAAGGTGGTATACAAGCTCCCTGCTACACCCAGGTGGGAGGGGTCTCCTGCACATCGGGGCGAGTCCCCACTATCCTGGCTGCAGCAGAATAAGAGCTACCTTCCCCCGACACCCAGGTGGGAGGATTCTCCTTACTGGAGGGGCGAGAACCCTCTACCCTAACAGTGCAGTTTTAGGAGCCCCCTCCGGCACCCAGGTGGGAGGGGTCTCCCTCCTGGAGAGGCAAGTCCCCTCTAACCTGGCTGCAGCAGTATATGAGCTCCCCCTGACACCCTGGTGGGAGGGGTATCCCGCCTGGTGGGGCAAGTACCCTATACTCTGGTTTTGGGTGTATTAGAGCCCCCCCCCCATCCAGGTGGGAGGCTTCTTTTGCCTGTAGTGGCAATTCCCCTCTACCCTGGCTAAGGTTGTATACAAGCTCCCAGTGACACCCAGGTGGGAAGGTCTCCTGCTTGGATGGGCGAGTCCCCAATACTCTGGCTTCTGCGGTATAGCAGCTCCCCCACACATACATCCAGGTGGGAGGGGTCTCCCTCCTGGAGGGGCGATTCCCCTCTCCCCTGGCTGTGGCTGTTTTGAGTTCCCCCACACCCAGGTGGGAGGGGTCTCCCATCTGGAGGGGCAAGTCCCCTCTCCCCTGGCCGCAGAGGTATAGGAGCTCCCCCAGGGAGAAGTCTCTCAACTGGAGGGACAAGTCCCCTCTACTGTGCCTCTGGCAGAATATGAGCTCTCCTGACAAGCATGTGTGAGGGTTCTCCAGCCTATTGGGGCGAGTCCCCTCTATCCTGAATGCAGCCACATATACGAGCCCCCCCCCCCCCCCCCCCCGCCTCAATAGCCAGATCAGAGGCTTTCCAGCTTGGAGGGGCGAGTCCCCTCCACCCTGGCTAAGGGAATATACAAATTCCTGAGACACCCAGGAGGGAGAGGTTTATGGCCTGTAGGGGCGAGTCCCCTCTACCCTGGCTGTGGCAGTATAAGAGCTCCCTCTGAAACCCTGGTGGGTGGGGAATCCCGCCTGGAGGGGTGAGTCCCTTCTACCCAGCCTGAGGCAGTATAGGAGCTCCACCTAACACCCAGGAGGGAGGGGTCTCCAGCTTAAAGGGGAGAGTACCCTCAACCCTGGCTGTTGTGGTATAGCAGCTCCACCCTACACCCAGATAGGAGGGGGTCTCCTGCCTGAAGTGGTGAGTTCCTTCCACCCTACCTGTGGCAGTATATGACCTCCCCTGACAACCAAGTGTGAGGGGTCTCCCGCCTAGTTGAGCGAGTCCCCTCTATCCTGGCTGCTTCGGTATATGAGCTCCGGCTCCCCCATAGACAGAAGGGAGGGATCTCCCTCCAGGAGGAGTGAGTACCCTCCACCCTGGCTAAGGCAGTATACTTAGGCAGTATACTTCTTTCTGGAAACCCAGAAGAAAGGGGTCTCCCGCCTTCAGGGGCAAGTCCCCTCTACACTGGCTGCAGTGGTATAAGAGCTCCACCCCCCATACCCAGGTGGGAGGGGTGTCTTGTCTGGAGGGGCAAGTCCCCTCTACCCTGGCTGCTGCAGTATACAGGCTACCCTGGACACTCAGGTGGGAGGGATTTCCCACCTGGAGGGGCTAGTCGGCTCTACCCTTTTTGCAGTAGTATATGAGCTCCTCCCGAAACCCAGGTGGAAGGGGTCTCCTGCAAAGAGGGTCAAGTCCCCTCAACCCTGGCTTCAGTGGTGTACGAGCTCCCCCCAGACACACAGGTGGGAGGGGTCCCTCGCCTGGAAAGGCAAGTCCCCTCTACATTGGCTGAGGCAGTAAAGAAGTTCCTTCAGACACCCAGGTTGGAGAGGCGAGTCCCTTCTACCTGGCTGCAGCAGTAATCGCCCTCCCCCGGACAACCAGTTGGGAGGGGTCTTCTGCCTGGAGGGGCGATTCCCCTCTACCCTGGCTGCGGACATATAGGAGCTCAGCCAGACACCTAGGTGGGAGGAGTCTCTTGCCTGGAGGGGTGAGGCCCCTGTACCTTGGCTGTTGCGGTGTATGACACCAGGTGGGAGGGGTTCCCTCCTTGAGGGGCAAGTCCCCTCTTCCCTGGCTGTGTTGGTATAGTAGCTTTTCCTGACACCCAGGTGGGAGGGGTCTCCTGCCTAGATGGGTATTTTGCCTGGAGGGGTGAGACCACTCTACCTTGGCTGCAGTGGTATAGGAGCTCCCCCAGACACCCAGTTGGGAAGGGTCTCCCGCATGGAGGGGCAAGTCCCCTCTACCCTGGCTAAGGCGATACATGAACTCCCCCCCCCACACACACACAGGTGGGAGGGGTCTCCTGCCTGGAGGCCCAAGTCCCCTCTACTTTGGCTGTTGCCCTATAAGAGCTCCCTGGACTCCAAGGTGTTAGAGTCTGTAAACAAGTCAAGATGGCGCCTGGCATTTTGCAGAGGGAGTGGTTTGTGAAGTAAAGCCAGCGAGCCATTGAGTGTTGGAGATTCCTTATTGGTTGACTGCTGTATCTAGTTTATGTTAATTAAGATAAGCTGTGTGTAATATATATATATATGTATATATATATATATATATATATATATATATATATATATATATACCCCTCCGGTCCTACAATAAATGGCTCCCACTCCTGCTGTATCAATGTACACAAGTTGCTAGTCACCCCCTGGGCTGTGGCACCAAGGTGGGAGGGGTCTCCTGCCTGCCAGGGCAAACCCCTCTACCCTGGCTATAGTAGTATAAGAGCTCCCCCAACACCCTGGTGAAAGGGGTCTCCCTCCTGTAGGGGCGAGTCCCCTCTACCCTGGCTGCGGGGGTATAAGAGCCCCCTCTGACTCCCAGGAGGGAGGGGTCTCCTGCCTGGAGGGGCAAGTCCCCTCTACCCTAGCTGCAGTGGTATTCAAGACACTGACACCCAGGTGAAAGCGGTCTCCCGCCTTGAGGGGTGAGAACCTCTCCCCTGGCTGTGGCAGGATATGAGCTCCCAG